GTAACAAGCGAAAAAAATCGCCGATTAATCATGCGATTTATCGCGTTTAATCGCACGATTAATCGGCGATTTTTTTCGCTTGTTACTTTGGAAACCCAGCAGAAAAATCGCGCTTAATCACCATTTTGAGTCAAAATCGCGATTAATCGGCAAAAGTTAGGCGATTTCGTCGACATGGGCAGTAATCATCGACAGACTTCTGTTGCTCTTAACGGTCATTCATTCATCCCACTCGTACATTACCAATTCAAAGATTATAAATCTTAGAAACTCATAGTTGATTTGTCTAATAGTTTGGTTTTGTCGACAATACTTATTAATTTTGACTATGAGCAAAATGCATGAAAATGTCGTGATTATCTTTACGACTATGCTATCGGCAAGAAGTCATCTACTTCGAACAAGTCAGAAAACACAAGAAATGCTGAAAAAGTATCTGATTTAAATTTCTGTGCTATAGTTCTATCAGCCAACAGGTTGTCGTTACGCTATTTTTGAAGGAAGTTTGCCAGCGCTGTTCTATCAGGCAAAACAAAAATGTGAAAACTTATTTTTTTAATTCTTTTTTCATGTAATATATAAATATTCAGTCTCCCTATCATGCTTCAAATGCATATAAATATATATTTTATTTCATCCGTCTGCACAGTGGGCATTTTTCCATAGTGCAGACGGACATCTGGTTTTATGAGTTAAAAAATGATTATTTTCGCATAATATTGCCTTATTATGTGTCAAATTTTAATAGAAGTAAGAAAAGTCAAATTCGAAAAAAAATTCTTTTCCGATGAAAAATCTCTGAAACGGACTCTTGCCCTAACAATTTTTTATTTGTAAAACTAATAAGTAATACATCACTCGATGTGGTTTTTCACGTTGATTTCGAATATGTATTGATTGTTTGGATAAAATCCTTTTTTTAATGAGAAAAGCATTTTATCTGAAAAACCGAGAATTTTTTGAAAATCTTCCTGTAGAGCTAGATACATTTCCGCGCTTAACCGCTTGTACCACAGATGCAGGAACATGAGACGAGTATTTTAACCTCTTTTTGAACTCGATTAGTGCTTGGCTAGCTTTGGCGCGCTGATTTTAGTGCAGAAAGCTTTTTTAAGTGCGACTCAAGCGAAAAAAACGCTCATTTAACCTCAGATTTTGACTTTTTCAAAAAAAATTTTACCGAAGGATAGCCTGACGTTTACTGATTCCCAATATGTACTTACATTTGAGTAGAAGTTGATTTTGGCATGAGAAAATCGTGCGTTTCCGAAATTACTCTAATTTTAGCCATATTTTTCCATCTAACTTTATTCCATAATGAAAACACAATAGGACGAAAATTTTTTCGTCATTAAATTCACCATCGTTCATAGTATATATAGTGCTGTAAAAACGAGAGAAAAGTGAACTTACGGTTTTTGGCCAAATTTCCGCCTAGAAGCCCACTGTGGTCTGTCCATTCGCTCACCGATACATCTGCTCATTCGTCCGTCAGAGAAAGGGGAGAATGGGTACTAAAAAGTGTTTTTTTCATAGTAAACCAGCAAAAAATCCTTTAAACTTCAAATTTTATTTTTCTTACAAGTTTTCACAAAAAAACTAGATCGTATAATCGTCGAATTAAAGAAAGATGAGCATTAGTTAGATTTGTCTTAACAAAAGAGATGAATAATGTTGAAACATTTCGAAAGGACTCAACAAGAAGTCAGTGCTGGCATTGGTCTTGGTAGTCACATTGTATTTTCTTTTTACTTAATTGAGTCTTCAGTATAGATAGACTGTTTCGTCTACCCATATTATCTAAACATATTTTGACTGCCTATGCATTAAATTTGTATGTGAAGAAGAGAAGTGGTAGATAAGAAAAATATATTGTTCCGCATAGGAGTCAGAATTGTATCTAAATCTAATGGAAATACGTGACGATTTTGATTTTGTCTTTTTGATTTCTTATAAGATTGTTTTATTATTTTTTAGATCTTAATATGTCACCCTATAAAAATCTATGTTCTTTACTTTCATCATTATGCATAGACTATAATATCGACTGGTATTTAGTGGAAAATGATATACCAAAAAAATGGCGTGTTTATGGTGATATGTTGTTAATTTCAAATCGTTATTTTTCGAATGATTTATGGAAACAAATTCGTATGTATTATGACAAACAAGTATCAATACTTTTATTTACATTTATTTTCTTCTATTTAGCAAATGAATTATTATGGCAAAGTGTGTGCAAAGCATTTTCTTCAAACGTAAAACGTATTGGATTAGAAGGTGTAATTAAAAATAATGATTATCGTTCACCCACAACTCGATTAGTTTATGGAAATGATCCGTGGGTGTTGCTGATTGAAAATGGAATTAGGTACACATAGTGTATGTTATTTGAGATATTTTTCTAAAAGTATTATAAATGAAATAACTTTGTCCTATTTAGATTTACGTATAATATTGAAAAATGTATGTTTTGCGCTGGAAATAATACAGAAAGAATGCGTGTAGGCACATTTGATTGTTCAAACGAAGTTATTGTTGATTTGTATGCTGGTAAGACGAAAAGAATTTCTTTTATTTTCAAAAATTCAATTAAAAAATGAGATAAATTAGTTTAATCAGTAAGTATAATGTAAATAACTTCTTTTCTCCTTTTTGTTGCAGGTATTGGTTATTTTACATTAGCCTATTTAGTTCATGCTCGTGCTTCTCATGTTTATGCATGTGAATGGAATTCGGATGCCGTTGAAGCATTGAAGCGAAATTTAAAATTGAATCATGTTGATGACAAATGTACAGTCCTATATGGAAATAACGAAGAAGTAAGTTTTTTTAGGCATTTTTTTCTCAATTAAACTTATCTCTTGTGTTTTTAAGACGTGTCCATTGAGAGTGGCTGATCGTGTGAATCTTGGTTTGATTCCATCTAGTGAACAAAGTTGGCCAGTGGCATGTCGCGCATTGAAATGTGAAGGTGGACATTTACATGTACATGGAACGATATCAACGATAAAAGTGAAGGAAAATCAAACGTTGACAGTTAAAGATGTATGGAATGAATGGGGTGAATATGTGAGAAATGAAATTCTAAAATTAATGTCTAAATTATATTCACATACGAACTATAAATGTGATGTTGAACATATTGAATGTGTAAAACCTTACGGACCACATTTAGATCATTTAGTAGTCGATTTATATGTTCAGAAACTTTGAGTTGTATATATTGTTTGTTCGTAAGACAAAAAACGATTGTTAAGGAAAGTGTGCTGATTAAGTTCAAATACAAGGACGAACGCGTTTTAATCGTTTAGGACAGATTCGCTTATAAATTTAGAGAATTTGTATATTCTCGGTCAAACTTAAGACGGTCTAGTCTTTTATTTTGTCAGCAAGTCAAATTCTGAGGAATAGTTTTCTATTGCAATAACTTTTTCCCCTTGTTAGTAGACTCAGACACTATTTAATAACGTCGGAAAAGTATGAACAGTGTTTTTGTCTAATTCTTTCTATTTTCATTTTTTTTTCTATAAACAATTTCTAACAAATGCTGATTTTATCTGAAATAGATGTTTATATATGGGTAGACCAAACTATCTATCCATTCGCTCACCGACACATCTGTTCATTCGTCCGTCAGAGAAACGGGAGAATGGGCATTAGAAAGTGTATTTTCCATGGTAAACCAGCAAAAACAACCCTTTAAACTTCAAATTTCATGTCAATGTTTCAATCATCAACGCAATCAAGACTTGCAGATTATTGGCGTTCTCTTGAAAACATTTTCGCATGCTTCTGAAGTCTATGCGTCCGAAACTTTTTCCTCTATGACTCAATATGTTTTCAAATCAATTATTTAATCTACAAGGCGTGCACAATAATATGGTTAATCCGTGTGAGCATATCTCATATGATACAAATTATTCTCCATCGGCGTACTTAAGTAATTTTTAATTTTTTAAAGAGTAATTTAACAGGATAATTTTCAAAGGCGCCTAAATTGTTCATTAGCCATGTAGTGGAGACATAGAAAATGTCAACAAAGCAAGCTTAAGAGGCATATGTTGTCTTTCAACCACTAGACATCTGTAGCATCCTCTTGAAGCATTTATTATCTCAATCATTGAAAACACACACATTGATCACTTGAAGATACAAGAACAAGCCTAGTGAATGTACTTGAGATCAAGTACTTAGCTACTTACAAATTTTCTAAAATACTTGATTATGCACTTATCAAATACGTGCAAAAGGCCTTGGAGGAACTTTGCATACTTGCATATATTTCGGAAGTACTTACCAGGTTACCTGCCAAATACTTGATGAAGTACTTATCTAGTACTTATACTTGTTAAATTACTTGATAAGTACCTTTTTTACTTGCAAACAGCTCCAAGTACTCTGCACGTTACTCATCCAAGTACTTTTCTAAGTACTTGGTCTCAAGTACATTCATTAGAGAATCGCTATTTAAACTTTATTGTACATCACAGCCTATATAGAAGCAATATAAAAAAACTATATCGAGCGTTCTCATAAATAAATATCATTGGACGTGTTTTAGAGAAGGCAACAAAATTATCATCATCTGATTACATGATTGACAAAATATTGTCTATAATTCAACAATACTCTAATACATCATCAATGAAAATGTTTATGATCATTTCGATAGGTATGATGAGATGATAAGCAGCGTTTATAAAATTATAAAAATGTAATATTAACTTAATAGATTCAGTTTTATTTTGATTGTTCACCTATCTCATCATAATGTAAATGTGTAATAAATGAATTAAAATATCTATTTCTGTATCAAAGTAAACTGTAAAAGGTTCGAATTTTAAGGTCAATTCAACAAAATATTGCCAATGTAGTTTCACATCGTTATTGTAACATCATTTTTGAGTCAAAGTCTTTAAAGATCAATTTGTATAAAAAAAGGTCATTTATTCAATTAAGCATTTATAAATGACGTACGAATAAGTTCATGTAGTATTAATTAGACTAGGAATTTTGTTACTATACTGAATATATCATGAAATTGGTCCCATAATATTTTTTATTACCATCCATTTACCATCGTTTTGACGTGCAACAAGATATTCATTTATTTGTGAACTTAGATTTCCTTCCCAATAGCCAGTCATAACTCGTGCTTCATCTTTACTCAACATTTGAATTGGTCTTGTTACATAGAATACGAGTCCTGATAGTTGCGTTTGTGTTTCATACACAGTATGTTGATCACTAATTGTACATAAACTTACGGGACGAACTTTTGGATCCGAACGAAAACGATACAGAAACGATGGTAATGGATCGATACCATTTATTCGTAGACAATAGACATGTGCGTTTTGCCGTTGTGATGACAAATTATTTTCAAATTGATATCGAAACACTGTTTCAATAATATCGTCTTCAATCTGCATTTGTAATGCGGGTGAATCTGTTTGTGAATCTGTTGGGGAATTACAGCCATGTAAGAGCATTTGTCCTGCACCATGATTCCACCGTCCTTGAATACTAATTTCACGTTGAAAAATATCATTTTTATATGTTTTATTCATTAATGACATGTCCATAATGAAAAGACGTCGCGTACAATCGACAGGTACTACGCTAAATTTTGCTATACGAGCAATATTTCGATGATTTGACGTTTTATTGACTATACATCGACTATTAATTGATTCGAGATGTATTTCATCAATATTTGTTACATTTATGATAGCAAAACCAGCGTTTAACTTTTTATATGTCCGAAGAAAATCATAAGATTGAATGTTAAGAACGTGTGTAGGAGCCAACAATTTAACATAAGCACTGCCATATGATGTAATATTGATGCGTTTAGCGGTGAGTGATTGTGCATGTAATGAACCATTAACACCGTTATAATCAATGTTCACTTGTTGGTCAACATTTCCTTTAAGTTTTAAGTTGATAAATGAATCGATGCTTGATACAACAATGTCTAAATTTGAAGTTTGAACAGATAAATCAATATTTGTCTGAGACAATTGTGCATTTCGACGACGTCGTTTACGCTGAATATTAACAGTTAGCGTTCCATTATGTTTTATGGCATTTATACAACGAACTGAACTGCTATCGGTAATATTAATAAGTTGTATACTTGAAAAATGTACATGAATTGTCGAACAATTATGATAATTAATGATTAATATATGATTATTTTGTATTTTAAAATTATCAAAGTCTGATATATTTGAACATCCAGTAAATTCAATAGATGACTTTTGTTGTTTATTTTGTGTTAATAATATTTCACTTTTATATAAATTATTCAATATTAATTGATCAAATTTTGTCGTTTTATTGAATGAAATAATATTTGATCCCAAACCAAAATAGGTAAAGTAAGACAATATAGTGCAATAATAGACGAGTGTTGGAAACATGTCTTCTTGTGTTATAGTTTTATTTAATACTGATATTACACAACAAGGAGGAAAAAGATATATGACAGATGTACTTGGAAATAGGATAACTGTTATTTATGCGTTTACTTGGATATATAAAAATTGTTGAGGGAAAATGGGAGGAAAAAAACATGCGATAATATGAAGAATGTATCTATTAGTTATATTACCACATTTTGAGAAAACACAAGATGTATTTTGTTAATGAAAAAAGTAGGGATATATTGGGTTCTAATACAAAAGATATGTTTGTAATTTTAGTCCTATAGACATTATTAGACAGAAACAAGTGTCTTATTCGAAATGAAACATTTTAAATTTGGATGATAGACGTTCAATAACAGCATTATTCACATTTTTAGGGTAGTTCTACACTTTTCATGGCTAACAAATAACTATTTGTCGTTTTTACAATCATACTGTATCGTATCAAATGAAACCAATATATTGTATAAGAGGAGACAATAGAAGACAGGATAGGACTTTTATTATCAGCTTGTTATGTTTAGGATTGAAGAGTAAGTCTTATCGAAGAAATTAAGAGAAAAACTAATTGAATAAGAACATGTTCTTGATGGTCTACAAAATTATTTAGAACACCAATATATAAAAAAGGATGACCACAAGCTAGTTCGAAAGCAAATGATCGATGGATTGTACGTAAATCGCTCGACGTTAACACCAAGTACCAGATGAGCCGTGATAAAAACGACTAACAACATTGGCAAAGAAAGTTATCACAGTTTTTCGAGCGAGAAAACAAAAACAACGAATATTTATTCGTTTTAAAATCGTTATAAGCTCAACAAATTCTATTGATTCTGATTTCATGCTCTTTAGCTTTGTAGACGTCTGCTGATTATGACACTTTTATTTTTTTTTTGTTCCTTCAGTAATACCGAAATCTACATAATACATAAACAATAATACTAGACGTCATCAATAATATTCGACACTATTATGAAAGTACCTATTACATATTAACAGCGATAGACAAATCAGCCAGGGTATAAAACCGTAAACAAATTCGTCAAGCAAAGACAACACGATTCTCAATTGAGAATGATACCGATACTAATTTCTCGTTTTCTTCTGCGTATAGTTTTATGATCTCTATTTTCCAAAACAACTTTATTTCAGTGAAATCTACACAATAAATTCGAAAAAATGTGCTTAAAGTACACACATCGTTGGGACAAATATGTGACTGAAAACACATATGACACAAAATTTAATTCACATGTAAAAGAAAGTGATGAATAGTACTAACGAGGGAACCCCTCGAAGTGATTAAACGCATTTTGCTCGGAATCTGGTGGGTTATAGGTTATCGACCATGCTGATTACGAATACGACCACGGGGCTTCCCCATAGCCCTTCGAAGACCTGGTTTTCTAGAAAACTAGTTTTTCAAAAACTCTAAAATATAACCCGAACTTTTCTTAATGAGGCATGATTGTAGCCTGCACATTTCTGATTAAAATGAGATATCTCCCAGCTTTGTACGACCTTTCTTTGCAAAGTTAGAGAATTTAGAAGAAAAGCCCTAAATTATTTTCTTCTTATTTCTAGCTGTAGCTTTGAGCTGAACATTTAGGGCTTTTCTTGTAAGTTCTATAACTGTGCAAAGAAAGGTCGTACAAAGCTGGGAGATGTCTCACTTTAATCAGAAATGTGCAGGCTACAATCATGCCTCATTAAGAAAGGTTCGAGTTATATTTTAGAGTTTTTGAAAAACTGGTTTTCTAGAAAACCAGGCCTTCGAAGGACTATGGGGAAGCCCCAAGGTCGTATTTGTAATCAGCATGGTCGATAGATTCCGAGCAAAAAGCGTTTAATCACTTCGAGGGTTCCCTCGTAAGAGCGTATAGATCGATATTTTAGTCGATTAAATAATAAACATTGACTAGGTAAAACAGATTCAACTTTAATGACACATCATTACCTGTAAAAAATCGTTTTCTTATTTGGATTGTTCGCACATTGCTAAGTTGTCGTGGCAGCCATGTTGATTGGTATACACTTTGTAACAATCAGTAAATCAGTAAACGAATAAAAGTTCTTTCACAACTTTTCCCTTTCGATCACGGTATTGATATTGTTCTGTAAAGACGCATGTTTTTTCTTACATATATCCTTTCTATCCCATGCGTTGTGTTTTACCTTTTCCTTCTATTTTTCACAAGTTTGTTATTATTATTTTTTGACATTGCAACGAGTATATAGTTTGTTTCTCAAGTCTGACATTCTTTTTGTCACTTGTGAATTAATGTTGTTGGATAGTGTATTGAAGTTTTGGAAAAGTTTGCTCGGATATTGCCTAACATCAGTTGATACCGATAGTATTCGATAATCGTGGAAAATGCATCTGTTTCTGCATTCTTTGAATTGAACGGCTGTGACGGACAGTACGAAAATTAAATTTAATGATCATAATATAAATATTTTTTGCAGTAAATGGATTCACGTTTTTAGCAGTTATTTGGATGTGATTGGACTGTATCCACATTCTATTTGACATTTTTTTTACAATCGATATCAATTTCGATTATTAAATACAGCAATGGGAGCGCTTGACCTCCAAAGCGTAGAAACAATACGATACATCTTATAGAAATGGAATCTCGTGAACATCTGGACTTGTTTTTGATATGTACATGAGAATGGAAAAGCACATAACATACATCAATAACAAATGCTGCAAAACTTTTTTTTAATGTATTGTCACAAAATCATCTTTTGTATTTCTGTTCTTAATCAAATTTGTAAATAATACTCTCGTCCTAAAGATTTTGAAAATACGTTTTTAAGCGTTCAGTTTTATAGGGAGAACAGATTTTTAAACAAAGTGCAAAATCTTAGAAACAATGTGCCTAACGCGAATGGACGTAAATTTTCTGGTGCAACCTGTCACTTCAGTCACCAAGTTAGAAAAATTGGCATTTTTTAACATTTTCTCCATACTTCAGAAACGTTCACCAGAAAACTTTTGAAAAATCAAATCGATCCAAATTACAGTAATGTTAGAGTTAGTAATGAATCGATATTTTCGATTAGAAAATCTTTATATCGCAATCATTCTTTGAAACTTTTATACGCCTGCGGTTCACCTTCAATGCTTCGGCAATCGCTTTTGCATCTTCATCGGATATATTGCTCCAGTCAATATCGAGATATGCCGCGTCATAGTATTTTCTTATAAGCTTTTATTGTAAATAAACCCGTTCGAAACAGTGTCAAGTATGAAAACCATGGTTTTAAATATTGTCGATTTTTTAGCCGTAAGGTTTTATTTAGGATAAAATAGTAGCTTCGACCGTGTTCAACGGATTCCATGGTGTAAAGATGAATTGAGGCACATTCATCCACTGTGAGTCCGTCTTTAAGATGACGACTTTTCTCTTTTGTTATATGAACTTTGGTCGATATATCACCGATAATAATAATTTTCGTGGTTCACTCAATAGAGCCGAATAACGTTGATCTGTCTTTGAATCATCGTGAACATACGTCTTTGTCATCATTGCTATAACGAATAAACATCTGTGTCGTATCGCAATTCACTTTTGTCTCAGCAAAGACAAAGTTAAAATAATACATTTGTCTTCTTACTTTTCTTCTGCATTCGAAACATGCAGCGAATAATAAATAGTCGTACTGAAGCAGTAACTTATATGAACAAACAATAAGAAAAATATATGCATTCAATCAATATTGGTTAAATTTTTTGTTGTTTTACAGGGAACAACTATACGAATATATATTTTTTTCTACAACACCCTCTGTCGTATTCGACAATCACGCTATAGCCCATGCTACCCATTTTTTCTCTTTTAGCATTAGCCAAAATATGTCATTCTAGTGGAATAATTACCGGAACAAATTCGGTTCGTTCGACTATTTATAACGAACTTTGTGCTGCAAGATCAACTCGTAATACAAAGTTGGCTGCTGCAGTTAAATAACTATTGGTTGGCTAAAATAAATCTCTTGATGGTGAAGAAGGGATAGTTAATAATGAGAATAAAGATAATGATACAAACGAACCTGAAAGGAAATTGGAACGGCATGCGAAGGAACAAGAAGGTCATGTGTACTTAGGTATGCACCAGTTACAGTTTTTTACCAGTTAAGTGTAACTGTGAAAACTGTAACTGCTCATAACTGTACGTAAATGTTCTAGAGTGATTAGTCTTGTATGATTTGCATACATTTTAAGGATGTCTCTGTTAGGTCCGGTATACGTTGTTGTGTATAAGTAATTTATTACTGAACAAGATGATCTTTACATAAAATTAGGAGCTATTTATACCTGAGGTTAAACGGAAACGGTGGGTTATAACCCAGAGCTAAAAGAATACATTGAAATATCTCTTGGAGAAAAGAAACAGTACAGAACGAAACCAAGAGATATTACTGGGAAATTTCCTGATAGAAAGAAAGAGAACAATACAGATACATATATGACAGGAAGAGAAAATACCCATAGCAGAAGAATAGAGAACGAATATATATATGACTATTATACAATTGTCTCTTATGGCACGTCTTTAATATGTGCCATAACAGTCTCTGTTCTTAAAATGCATGCAAATCGTAGAAGACAAACTCTAGAATATTTACATACAGTTATGAGGAGTTACAGTTTTCACAGTTACGATAGTTACAGTTTTACAGTTAATTGTAACTAGTGCATGCCTATCTGTACTTGTTGTATGTTTTCAGAAAAACTGTGATACTATTTGCCATCAAACAAATGTATAGTAGAAATGCTAATTGTGCGCAAACACAATCATATCAAACACATGAAGGTAAACGCTGTGGTTGTTACTCTGTGCTAGAAATTCTATCAAATTTAATTCGAAATGATTAAGAGCATATATACAACGATATGGTCATGCAAAACACGTCAGAAAATGGCAAGAAACATGCATCACAACAAGATGACTTGAAAATGGATACTGATTATAGTAATTTAACAACATTTATGTTGCATAGGATCCTTGAATCAATCATTTCTGGAATAAATGATCTAAAGCATGACTGTTTACTCCATTTGCCTCTTTCCAAGTTTGAAAATCGATTATTAGAGAATAAATTCACGAAATTATACTGGGCTATTGTGTTAGTCATGTGTAACCTCGAGTTTTTTTCGTTTCACATATTCTACCAGTATTTCTAAGAAATCATTTATTTTAACTTAACAATTTCATTACTTCAACATTTTCACTCATAATCAGTAAAGCTATCTGAGCGTACGATGAAGTGTGATGAATAAGAACAAAAAGGAGATTTATATTCTTGTTTATTAATTCATTGTCTCTCTTAAATTTGAAACCATACAGTACAGTAGGTGGAAAAAGCGCTCATATGCTTTTATTTTTGATTTTTTTCCTCAACTATAATAGCTAGAACAAACCTGAAAAAAGATCTAAATATTTGAAAGAGCTTCCTACCATAATGTGTGTGTATGAGAATTCTTTCAGAGCTATTATAGATAGAGTTCCTGGAAAGCCAGGATGCTATAAACTGGTTGTCCCGAAACCCTATTTATAATAATTCTGGAAGAATTCTCATACACACACATTGTGATAAAAAACTCTTTCAGATATTCAGGTTTGTTGATCAAAAATAAAAGCGTACGATCACTTTTTCCACCCACTATATATATATGAGTGATTCTGGCGATGTTTGCACCGTTTTTACACAAAAAATGAGCCAAACTAAAAGTGGCCAGAAAAATATTTTAACACTATAGACTTATAGAGAGTAGCCTGAAACCTTTAAAAAAAACCTGTTTCGAAACTATCAAGTCTTCGTCTACCCAAATCCTGGTTGTTCACTCAAGATCGAAAATGCTTTTCTCTGCTTTTTAGCTAAAGAATCGTAACTGAACTTAGAAATGTATTGTAACATAGGTTTTGATATACGCTCTATCAACTGACGTGCTTAAAAAATTGTTTTTGACAAGTTTTAAGCTTGGGCCTTTAGAGATCCCGGTTTTCCTGAAATCCTTTGCTAAGATGATTTTCCAAAAAATTGAGTTGATCAGTCAATTTAGAAGATCAGAATACGTCTAATCTGAAAATTTGTGGCTTTATAAGTTTGCCATTACGATTTCAGAGATGTGTTTAGGGACGGGACGAAAGTGTAGGGGTAGGACATTTTGATGTATTGTCGAATTTTCTCTTCTAGCAAGTAACCGATAGCCTTCAAATCTTTAGACATTGAATGGTTAGTCAAAAGTAACCCCATTTTGTGCTCGGTTGAAATCACCCGTACAATTTTCAGTTGTGATTATTTCCAATGGTCGTGTTGCTGTTCATCGACAAGGATTTTCGAGAATAGCTGAGCACAGTCTACACACTAATTATCCACCTATTTTCCTTTAGAATGTAAGTCCATTAAGGTATTTTCTTTCATTATACGCTGAGTCTCATTAGATACAACAGCAAGAACAGTGGTCGATAATTAGTGTGTAGACTGTGCTCAGCTATTCTCCAAAATCCTTACCCAAAAAGGGCTTCTTTATATTCATCATTCCAAGTCCCAACGCTCCGTGCCGTCTGTCCAATATATATATGCCATTAGATCTGGCACAATCAAAGCTATATACAACACGTTTATTGTATTTCGCTAGTCGAAAATTACATGAGAATATAGATGAAATGTGAGTAGGAGTATTGAGTGTTATATGGTAGACGTGGTCAATAAATTGTCGCTCATGCAAAGTTGAAAGAGTCTAGACAATTGCGAGTTTTACCAATGGATAGAGTACATAATTCTGCATAACTTCAAGCAAAAAACTAAGTAATTGACTGCTTGCTAACTGAACTGCAAACTCAAAACGGAGTGGAACACAGTTTTTTACTGTTCGAGGACCACAAATTTCATCGAACTTTTCACAGAAACTAAAGATGATTAGGCAAAACTAAAACTGCAGATTGACAGAGCAGATAAAATACTGCACAAAAACAAAAAAAAGGCTTTGTTTCGCTCACCTTAACCCTTTACTCCCGGATGTCTACACCCGTGAACATTGATAAAATCGATATACCAAAATAACGCAGCGTCATATCAGAACCGGATTTTGTTCCAACCTTAGAGACTTCATAAACTCTCGATTGGTGAAAAAGAATTTTTTTTCTATGGAATCTTGACTGAGGTAATTAACTTTTGAAATCAAAGAATTTCAAATTTTCGAATTTTTTTAAAAACTTTTTCCATAGATTTAGCCATAGAAGGGTTTTCAGATGTGGTGGTTGATAACTATTGCTATAAGGATCTATTCTATAATTACACAAGAAAATAAAGTTTCTGTCAAGTTGCCTTGGTGAACCGTGTCCAGTAATGAAATGTCCACACCTGTGGACATCAGGGGCGGGAGTAACGTGAAAAGTACTGATTTTTTCGTTTTACATTGATTGTAAGTTGCCAGTGATCACAAATCTGATCTTAGTTTTTCGATTTAAGCTAGTTTTCTCGGAGAAAAATGCAAAATACTACGAACTCCTCAAACACACCAAAAACTAACTTTTGAGAAAATCGCTCTAATCTTCTTACAAATTTACTCTTCAATCTCACCAATGTGATTTTCGAGTTCCTCGACTCAAACTGAGTCTAGACATGTGGTCTAGAGAATTAAATTAATTTCTTCTTATTTCTGTAGCTTTGGGGTGACAATGAACATTTAGGACTTTTCTTGTGAATTTTATAACTTTGCAAAGAAAGGTCATGTAGAGCTGAGAGACGTCTCATTTTAATCAGAAATGTGCGGGCTACAATTATGCCTGATTAGGAAAGGTTTCAATTATTATCAGAAAAAAAAAATAGATACGGTTGCAAAATTAGGTCGCATCAACGGAGGACCACCGATTTTTAAAATTTCTCAGCCTATACGATATGCGCGATCAAGCTCTAGATCACATGTCTAGACTCAGTTTGAGTCGAGGAACCCGAAAATCACATTGGTGAGATTGAAGAGTAAACTTGTAAGAAGATTAGAGTGATTTTCTCAAAGGTTAGTTTTTGGTGTGTTTGAGGAGTTTGCAGTATTTTGCATTTTTCTCCGGGAAACTAGCTTAAATCGAAAAACTAAGGTCAGATTTGTGATTACCAGATAAAACTGCATCTAATGATGTGCCTTTGAGCGAAAAATAAAAAGCGCTGAAACTTTGAATCACTGGCAACTTACAATCAATGTAAAACGAAAAAATCAGTACTTTTCACGTCACTCCCCCCTGATGTCCACAGATGTGGACATTCTATATTCTGTCACCTAGGTAACTTCATTTTATTTTAAGTATCGAATGGACATAGTGAGCACTCAAGAGTTCCACTTCAGTAGTCGTCTTTCATAGATCTTCAAAAAAATACCTTTCGGGGGTAAAGGATTAAGAGAAGAAAAATGTTAAAAATTAAGAAAGAAGAACGTGCAGAAATCACAGAGAAAAGAAGAAAAAAGAACCAAAAAACAAAGTGTTTTGCTTACTGTACACTAAGGGAATAAGATAGAAAAAGGATTGTAGCAGGGGATCAATTTCCAAATGTTTGGTTTAGTACTAAAGGAGAACCGGGCAGGCCCATGAGCTCAAGTCAAACGGTACAAAAATCACCAGAATCACTCATATATTCGTACTGTTCAAGAGGTTAAACATAAAAACAAAACATAACTGATAGTTAAGTTTTAAATATCTTTTATTGATGGTATCTTGATTCGAAAATAGCCATCATATTTGTTTCGGATGTTCATCTATCCAAAATTTCGTTTTAAATGATTCTTTTATTTCATCGGTTGCTTTATTATACCAGTTCTTCATGTTTAAATTAAACATTTTTAAATTGACAAGTTTTTCAAGTAAACATTGCCATTGATGACCATCGATAAAGAATTCATTTGATGTAGATGCAAACGATAAATAGATCAAATTTGGAACGCGTGATAATAATTGTTTTAAATGATTAAATTCAAGTGAAATTACATCTAATTTGAGATAAATTAAATTGAAAATTGTCGTATTTTCCATGACTAATGGGTATCTCATACTTCTAGCTGGAAGTGTAAAATTTCCGTATTTTAGTTGTGGTAAGTGTCGTAATAGTAAATTTAGATTGATGAATGAACAAGGTTTTATTTTCAAATATTCAATATTCGATGAACGTATTGATTCTATTTGTTTAAAATTGAATTCTGTTAAACAAACATTAATCAATGTAATTCGTTTTAATGTTGGATGAGTTAATAATTGACTATGATCACAACTGTTATAATGTTCAGTGAGTAGATGTAGTGATGTCAACTGTTTTAATATCAATAATAGCGGAAATATGAAATCATATGGATAGTCACAACGGAGAACTAATGATTTTAAATTAACAAAATTAAGTAGTGGAACACGGGCTTCAAGATCATGTGTTCTAACCGATAAATAGGTTATTTGTTTCCAGAATATTGGCAGGACATGTTGACACAAGTATTTATAATTCGAGCAATTTGTCCACAAATAGATTTTCCACTGATGGTCATGTTGAAGGAGAGAATTTATTCGACTGTTTAAGTCAAAGAAAGCTCGATGCAAATGAATTGGTTGAATATAGTTAAATATTTCTAGGAGCAACTCGTTTGGTAGCAATTCTAAAACAAAACTCATTTCTGAAATTAACCAGAATAAGTAGTTAAACTACTAAGAACCTAACTATTGATAAACAAGCTAATTTTGAAGGCCTGAAAACTTTATAACAGCAGCTAGAGAATACCCACAACTAATTTTTGAATGGATGTCTGTATACCGACATCCGGGGATGTAATATTCTATTGACTTTAGTCTAGAGTCCTATAAAATGGTTGTCTGTCTGTCTGTGCGTGTGTGCACAAAATACGAAAAAATGGCTGTCAGATATTCTATGCATAAGCGAATCGAATCACAAAAGAGAAAAGTAGAAAATTATTTTTTACATAAGAGAGAAAATGTTCAACGAGATGACTGCAAAAATAATTACTGATGCAGCGAGAAAAAAAAACTAAGCAAACATTTTATTCTGTAGTTGGGAGATAGATGTTGACAGAAATCAGTACATTTTGATAACACAAAAAACGTCAATTAATTCAAAGAATTAACATCGACGTTTAATATATTGTACGAAGGAGCAGCTCGAGTACACTGTAAGGTTGGAAATTATTTATGGAAAATAGGTACTCTTTGAAATTCGCCGAGCATTAAACGTCGATGTTAATTCTATGGACCTAGAGAAAAATAAGCTCAAAGTTGCTTTACTGTAAAAAAGGTCAAAAACACGTGACATCCCTAAACAGGCATGTAGAATATAACTTTCTTTGCGAACAAATATGGGATTCTATGTAACCTTTTTGTTAGGTTTCCCGGGTGAATTAAGATCTTTCTCGCCTAACGTTTATTTACAAATGAAAAAGACATCCTTAACAATAAAATTAATGTATTTATATACGAAATATTGCGCGATAGTCTTGAGTAGACTGCGCAATAACCGTTAATGTTCTTGCACCATAGCGTTAATGTTCTTGCGCAATAACTTAGACTATCCTTACACAATAGCCTTAACTATGATCTTCTCCCTTATGGCAGGACTGTAGTGCGTGGCATAACACTTTTATGCTTTACACGGCAAGAGTGTTGAAATTTTTGCGGCTGCTATGTCCGTATAAACTGAGCGGACCTGCCCAAGCGTCAAAAAAAAATCTAGTATCGCCCGATTCATCTAGATTATTAGATTTTTACTCGATTGTAACTAGTGTGTAACGACAGTGGAAATCTAGTAACTGGGCGATTATTAGACCTTTTCTAGTTGCAACTATCGATTTATCGCGCGATCAAGTATTTCTAATCGATTCACCATGATAGACTATCTATATTCTGTAAGTTTTATTATCCGTAAATGACTTTTTTTTGTGTTATCAAAATGTACTGATTTCTGTCAACATCTATCTCCCAACTACAGAATAAAATGTTTGCTTAGTTTTTTTTTCTCGCTGCATCAGTAATTATTTTTGCAGTCATCTCGTTGAACATTTTCTCTCTTATGTAAAAAATAATTTTCTACTTTTCTCTCTTGTGATTTTCGGACGTTTCTACCAAAACTTCGCGCCACCACTGTCTCTGCATAAATCAAAACTATTGCTGGCATAGGCAGAATTGTGATCTAAAGTAGAAACTGTCAAAGTTGATTTAAGTGTAATATGAGTGTCTTTACGTGACGCTCTTATGCCTACACTGAGTGCAAAACAAAAAGGTGAATAAGTATTTGGCCTAGAAATTTCTGGGCGAATTTCCACTTTCTAGAAAATCGCCGATGATTTTCCAGTTTATGGAAAATCCTCAGCGATTCTCCACCTTCGTAGAAAATTGAATTTATGGAAAATCAAGTCGATTTTCTATAAAGTAGAAAATCAACATTTCCTAGAAAGCTGGAAATTCGTCGAGGAATTCCTATAAACTAGAAAATGCCCGGCGATTTTTCAGGCGATTTTCTATAAACTGGAAATTAATTCAAGATTACAGTGTAGTATAAGAGCTGATACTCAAAACGTACCCAACTACATTTAAAAGCGTGAGAATTGTCTGGTGTTTAGAAGTAGTTTTAGACCTTTGGGAACCTTGGACGATCCCGAGAAACCTTTTTAGATTTATATTAAATTACGAAGCTTACACATCAAATCAGAGAGGTATTCATAATATATTGTAGATGGTCCACTAGCGAATACCGGCCGAAGGGCGGTGTGAGCGTTGTCTTCGATTCAAACTCATGGAAGGCCGTTCGCCAATATAAGTTCCTAAAGTCAAGGAATCGAGCGAGAGCAGACGAGCGTTACCTTGTAGACAGCATCCTTTAAGCTGTTATTACGTGAGTCAATATATCGGGCAATAATTGGTCAATATATCTAATTTCATAGTTAGTGGCACAGTGGCATCAGATACTGTCCACAATATATTGGGCGATAATTGATCAGTCTATCGACTAAATAGCTACTCTAAACACACATTCGAGTATGCTCTATCCAAATATGAAATCAGATTTGCTCAATACGACTTTCAAGTTCGAGAAAACAAATGTTTATTGAACCCGTCGTTTTTTCTCTGTTCATAATTACCCAAGCGTCAAAAAAAAATCTAGTATCGCCCGATTCATCTAGATTATTAGATTTTTACTCGATTGTAACTAGTGTGTAACGACAGTGGAAATCTAGTAACTGGGCGATTATTAGATTTTTTCTAGTTGCAACTATCGATTTATCGCCCGATAATCGATCGATTTAACTATTACTAGATGCACCTGTAGACGCATCTAGTTAAAAGTCCCTTTTCAAACTAGTAATCTAGATGGCAACTAGTCGTGTATCGCCCGATTACAGACGAAATGTATCTAGATTTTTCCCATAGGTGATATCTGCTTGGGCAATTTCGAAGTTAAAAACCTGTTCAACATGGACACCCCAAGCCCGCCTAAAGTTCGGGCATGCAATATACGGTACTCATTTTCAACTTGCATCCTTAGAATAAAAGAACTTTGATACGGCATGTAACAGTCTAAGAGACAGGTTCTGTCGAATCAACAGCGGTAGTCTGTTTTATGCGTTTATTTTTGTCAATTGGTTGAGGTGCATTTCCGTTTGTATTTGTATAAAATGTTTTTAATAATCTCATTCCTTCTTCACTTTCAATACCACCAACACATTTGAGTTCTTGTCCGTAATTCTCAATCACATCTGTTGCAACATTTAATACGGAGCCACACCCACCAAAACGATCATTTGAACATCCGTAATAAACATTTTTCAAACCAACTAAGCGTAATGCACCCGCACACATCATACACGGTTCACATGTTACATATAATGTTGATTCTGATAAAACCTAGAAGGAAAAAAGAGCCCTTACAACTGAACTTGTCAACAGAAATAGAAAGATTTGAAAAGTTACTTTCAACCCCTCTTGTAAATTCGTTTTGTACGAATCAACGATTTTATCAACTGCACATATTTCTGCATGTCTTGTTGCATTCCTCGCTTGCACCGGTTCGTTTTTTCCATCGGCTATTATCTTCTCATTATGTACAATAACGCAGCCAACTTTAAAACAAAGAGGGAATGTAAAAGAAATATTTCGATAATGCTAAACATCTAACCTGGTACTTCTTGTTTTTCTAATGCTTGACGTGCTAATTTCAGTGCTTCTAACATCCATTTATGATGAGCTGACATTTCTTGTGCTGTTTCAGTATTGTCCATTAAAATGCTCAATGGCAAGGTTTCAGTTTTAATTGAAATTTAATTTTCATCTATAATTGCGGTGAAGGTCACTGTAGATGATTTCAAATAACAAATTTAAAAGATCTATCATTTCATATTCAGTTTTTTGTCAATAATCGGTAGTACGATGGTACATGCGAAAGTAGCTGGAGACGCTCAGGAAGCAAGCAGAGTAGATCCAAAGCAGAGTAGAGTTTCAGGAAATTTAAATGAATTTTCTAACGTTACTTGGCCTTACCTAAGATAGTCTACTATATGTATGACTAGATATCCTTAGCGTACACAACCCTACGATTAAGCTCACCTTAACTATCCCTGAGTTTGGAAAGAAAATTTTCTTTTGGAACATGGTAAAATTTTGGAATTTCCATGAAACAGGAACTATAAGATCAAACGTATGAGTTGTTCTAATACAGGAATTCTAAGAAATCTATAGAATTCTAGGAAATGTATCGAGTCTTATACCACTATGGCTTTAGTCTGTATTCACCAACTGAGACACAAAGTGAAATCTACAGAGTTCCATAGAATTCTATACATCGGTAGTCACCTAGAATTCTATAGAATATTACGTTACTACCAATTTATTCTGTTTTCTTAAAGTGAGAGACAAGCTGAAATATATAACCACTGATTTTCTGTGCTACTGGATTATATTTTTGTTATAAAAATCATAATTTCGGAATTCTACATCAGTTTCACTACAGAAAACAGAATTCCACGTAGAATTCGTACTCGCAAACTATATTTTGCGTGACTGGGAGAGTGGAGGGAGTCGGATGCGTGGAGCCATGAGAGTGAACCACTAAACCACAGTAAACCTTGACTCCGGGTTGGGGAAAACGGAATAAATCGGTAATCACCTAGAATCCTACAGAATGTCTGAAATTTAGGAATTCGACATCCTTCATAAAGATTGTACTATACTAATGACTCATTCATAATAGCAATCACATATATAGATAATGAAGTGAATAACACTGCATTTGAGAAAAGTAAATCCATTCTTTCTGTTTTATATACTAGACAACGATTGGAGTTGTGCAGTTTGTACTAGTTACTAGTGAATCAAGTCGTTTTTTGGTATTAACTGCGGAATAGCGTGCTGTGTGCCACTCGGAAAATAGACAAAAGTCAGTTGTTGCCAACAAAAGCCAAAAATTTATTTTAATTACAATTTATGTGATTCATTTCCAAGTTTTGAGATCAAATTGTGATTTGATTCATAAATGATGGCGTCTATTCTTGAACCACTACACATCGATTCTTTCTTCTATATCGACATCCACATTCAATGTGGACAAAAGAAAAACAATTGAAGCTTTAAAAATTGAAAAAAGTAAATTTTGCATGTAAAATGATTAAATGCGACGTCAGGCTTCAAAAGTTCGATTAGAGTATTGTGTGTAGAGAATACAATTCTACATAATGCGAACTATCACATCTTTACCTAAGACGTGGAGAAAGAGTTTAAGAATTAGTTAGAAAGACAGCAATTACACTAGCAAAACTCTGAGTATTTCACTATTAACTCATTACCTCGCTCTTTAACTTGGTTATAAATTACAAGCAAAAAAAGCTGAAAATTTTGCTGCCTTTAGTGCAATTGCTCGCTTTCTTAAACACTTTTTCTACGTCTTAGATGAAGATGTGATAGTTCCTATTGTGAACAAGTCAGTTTAAGTTTAGGCTTCAACGTGACCTAATTACATTAGAAAGTTTTTCGTTACTATGTTGGTTTTACATATTTCCAGAGAATCTCATCCACAAGAACATACTTTTCAAATTTCATCTGTTAAACTATGTTAAGATTCTAAAATTGAGTATTGTTTGAGAGTTTCAAGTGATTCTAACCGATTTGAACAAAATATGAACTTTCCAATTTTGACCGGGAATAACAGAAAGATCATTATGTTGTGACGAAACTAGATTCACGAAGATCTCAGAGAAAACCTATTTTACTCAACTTTTTTCAAATATTCTTGTCTTTTGACAAAATACTCTAGTCTTGATTATCGAAAAGCAAAAGTCGCTTCTTTTTTTATTGACAATAATCCCTAGACAGACTAAGTACACAAAAGTAAGTCCAACATTTGCGTACAATACCATTTCAAATTAAACATAACTTCCTTTTGTTTTAATAACTAAAAGATAGTTGGTTGATTGGTTGGTACGCAAAGATCCTTTTTGCGTTAAATATCAAAATAACCTGCATTATCGAATGATATAGTGGTATATTTGCGCTGAAAATAGAGACGTTATGTGCAGGAAATTCAAAAGTTGAGAAGAATTTTTCTTCACTTTTTTTGTGCTAATTGGATAGAGCTCATCGAGCTACCTAGAAAAAATCTGATTTTAGATTTTCAGAAGATATTTTTGATGAAAAAATCTTAAAATATTGATTTTTTAGAAATGGGCAACAAATTTTTTTAGCCCAATCCCTATTTTTTCGACATTCTCAAAAATTGAAAACTCAGAATTTTCACTTACAATCCAAAATTGTCTAAAAATTCCGAAACGCACATATTTCAACTGAGTTTTTAACGGACGAAGATTTTTTTGTGTCCGGAATTAAGACAGCTTTGTGCCCGTTTATGTTTTTTTGTGTTCGTTTAAGACTTTTTGTGCCCGGTCCGGGTACAAAAAAATCTTTTTACACTTTTGTGCCCCGAAACGATATGTGCCCGATTTGTGTGCGAGAAAATTTAATAGTAGACCAAGAGATGAACATAAGTTATCCTGACAGATATCGCTTGTGACATACGTCTGTATGTTTATGTACAAGATGCATAAAGTACTATACAGTATTCACAGACCGGCAATGTTGATCAAGGATCTTTTTCGTAAATTCGATTGATATATTATACACAAATAGAGAATTCTAGGTAGTCATTAGATTATCTTAGTTCAAAGATAGCTCTGTAACTGAATTCAGAAAGAAACTTTCAACTAAAACTTACTTTAAACCTTGACTCAGAGAGAGTGGAATTTTGTAGATGAACTTTCTGATGAGAATGATATGAAATCATTTATAAAACAAAATAATGATTCAATAAAGCGAATCGAAACAACAGCTCTTGGAAAAAAAGTAACATATCGATGTACCCAGGCTAGAAAATATCCTGAATGCGATTCTCAAATTCGTGTGATCTTTTACAATGATGAAAAAATTGCTGTTTTCAATAGTAGTTCTAATATTGTGAAAGACTAAGCAAAATTAAAAAAATTTCCAGAAATGACGCGGAAGACCAACAGAAGTAGGAAATGCGTATAGCTGTTCTACTTACATATTCTATCTGTTCTGCCATTTCTGCCACTACGTCAGTAAATAAATAGCGATAATAACCTTTCTCATTCTTATTCCTAATCTAATTAAAACCGGGCACAAATCAATCAAATCTGAGCACATATCTGTCTCCGGGTACAAAAGTGTAAAAAGATTTTTTTGTACCCGGACCAGGCACAAAAAGTCTTAAATGGGCACGAATCTGTCTTAATTCCGGGCACAAAAAAACTTAAGGGCCCCCTCTCTCTCAGAAATTATCTCCGACACCGTACATCCGATCTTAAGGAAACT